AGTTCTGCCTGAATGGAGTAAGATTGCAATACTCTAGGTCGATGTTCTTAAATAGGCTATCAATAATGTAAATTGTTTATACAGTCTTCTAAAAAGTAAATACTTAGATCTACCACTAGGTGGTATTCAAAGTTCCAAACAATAATTATCAACTGGAGGGAACTATATTTTTATACTAACTATGTGCTGGTCTGAAATTCCAGCTACAAACAATTAATAATTTATTGTTTTGTTTTATCCAGTTTATTCCATGTGTGCTGCTTCAGCTTATTCCTGGTTTCTAACCCCAATGTGCTTCTACATGAAGCTTTTATTACCAAAGTGCCTCAGTTCATGGAAGATCCAGATGATGTTCCTTGTCTACTTTCTTCAACTGTTTTTTTCCTACCCAATAAATTCCATTAAGGATGAAAAGATGCATGTGCTGAAAACTACAGGAATTCCATCAGGCTGTACTTAAAGTCTCTCCTTCAAGGTGAGATGAGAACAAAAATGCCCAAGATGTTTCAGTTTTGAAGCAGAGCCTCAAACAGATCAACACCCTCATTGTAGGCCAAGGGTAGGCAACCTTGGCTCTTTTATGATTCATGGACTTCAATTCCCAGAATTCCTGAGCCAGCCATGCTGAGGGGAAAGGGAGAGGTTTCCAAGCTGAGCCATGCTGGCTCAGGAATTCTGGGAGTTGAAGTCCACAAGTCATACAAGAGCCAAGGTTGCCTACCCCTGTTGTAGGTTATGCTGACTTGCTCAGCTGCTCACAACTTTGGACCTGAATTGTCTCCCTGTAACTTTTTTTTGAGAATGTGTGCTTCTTTTTGTTTCATTGGTAATGGAATTTAGCCATCATGCTTCTCCTTAAATTACTTGATCTTCCTTTGACTTTGGTATTTGAAGATTAGGCTGGACTTGACTTGAGGAAATATTGTAGCTTTTTAAACCTAAGTTTATTTATATTCGATAATTTACTGAATGGGGTCCCACAATTCAACCCTGAACTACGAATATTCTCTTTATTTTACTATGTCTCATGAAATTAAGAATACTTCGTAAATACTGGTTTTTTACTGTGTTAATTATTAGTATTTTAAAATATTTTAGAGACTGGTGTTTGTTTAAAATTGAAGAGAGGTGGTTTGAATTATTATTATTATTTCTGTACAAAAAGAAAGTCGAATTTTAGTTTGGCAGCTTTAAGATGGGTGGACGTCAACTCTCAGAATTCCCCAGCCATGTTGTCTTTCAGGTACATGGTAAAAGGCCTTAACCTGCATTGCTCACAGCCTCAAATATCTCTTGTGAGATAGGCAATAACACATATATGGTGAATAAAATAATCATAATCATCATAAGAGTACAGAGAAGAGCAACAAAAATGATTAGGGGACTGGAGGCTAAAACATATAAGGAACGGTTGCTGGAATTGGGTATGTCTAGTTTAATGAAGAGAAGGACGAGGGGGGGGATATGATAGCAGTGTCCCAATATCTCAGGGGCTGCCACAAAGAAGAGGGAGTCAAGCTATTCTCCAAACTGCCTGAAGGCAGGACAAGAAGCAACGGGTGGAAACTAACCAAAGAGAGAAGTAACCTAGAACTAAGGAGAAACTTCCTGACAGTTAGAACAATTAACCAGTGGAACTGTCCCCCCTCCTTTTTAACATCTACATGAAACCACTGGGTGAGATCATTCGGCAACACGGGGTGAGGTATCATCAATATGCGGATGATACCCAATTATATATCTCCACCCCGTGTCCTTTCAGTGAAGCAGTCGACGTGATGTGCCGGTGCCTAGAAGATGTGAGGGTCTGGATGGGGGTGAACAGGCTTAGACTCAACCCTGACAAGACCGAGTGGCTCTGGGTCTTGCCTCCCAAAGGTCAACTGGATGGTCCATCTTTAGTCCTGGGGGGGGCAAATCTACCTCCCTCAGTGCAGGCACGCAACTTGGGTGTCCTCCTGGACTCACAGCTAAATCTGGAACAACATCTATCGGCTGTGGCCAGGGGGACTTTTGCACAGGTTCGCCTAGTGCACCAGTTGCGGCCTTATTTGGACCGGGAGGCTTTACTCACACTCACTCATGCCTTGTCACCTCAAGACTGGATTACTGTAACGCGCTCTACATGGGGCTTCCCTTGAAGAGCGTTCGGAGGCTGCAGTTGGTTCAGAACGCAGCCGCGAGAGCGATTGTGGGCGTGCCGAGGTACGCCCACGTGTCACCTATCCTCCGCGAGCTGCACTGGCTTCCTGTGGGTCTCCGACGCAATTCAAGGTGTTGGTTATCACCTTTAAAGCCCTTCATGGCATAGGGCCAGGTTACTTACAGGACCGCATTCTGCCACATAGTTCTCAGAGACCGGTGAGGTCCCATAGAGTGGGCCTCCTTCGGGTCCCGTCGGCCAGACAGTGTCGGCTGGCGGGCCCTCGGGGAAGGGCCTTTTCTGTGGTGGCTCTGACCTGGTGGAATCAACTTCCCCCCGAGGTTCGAACAACTCCCACCCTGCCGGCCTTTAAGCAGGCTGTTAAAACCCTCCTGTTCCGGCAGGCCTGGGGCTGATGTCCCCGGGGGGGCCGGGATATGATCGGACTCGCGGTATGACTGTGGTATGACTGCTTTATTTTACTGTTTTATTATTGTTTTTAACTTTGTACGCTGCCCTGAGTCCTTTGGGATTGGGCGGCATATAAATACTGTAAATAAAAATAAATAAAATAAAAAATAAACCTGCCTCCAGAAGCAGTGAATGCGCCAACATTGGAAGTTTTTAAGAAGAAACTGGACAGCCATTTGTCAGAAATGGTATAGGGTTTCCTGCCTGAGCAGGGGGTTGGACTAGATGACTTTATTATTATTATAATAATAATAAAGTTGGAAGGGACCTTGGAAGTCATCTAGTCTAATTCCCTTCTCAGGCAGGAAATGCTATACCATTTCAGAAAATGGCTGTGCAGTCTCTTCTTAAAAAATTCCAGTGTTGGAGCATTCACCGCTTCTGGAGGCAGGTTGTTCCACTAATTGTTCTAACTGTCAGGAAATTTCTCCTTAGTTCTAGGTTGCTTCTCTCTTTGGTTAGTTTCCATCCATTGCTTCTTGTCCTGCTTTCAGGTGCTTTGGAGAATAGCTTGACTCCCTCTTCTTTGTGGCAGCCCCTGAGATATTGGAACACTGCTATCATGTCCCCCCTCGTCCTTCTCTTCATTAGATTAGACATACGCAATTCCAGCAGCTGTTCCTTATATGTTTTAGCATTCAGTCCCCTAATCATCTTTGTTGCTCTTCTCTGCACTCTTTCTAGAGTCTGAACATCTTTTTTACATTGTGTTGACCAAAACTGGATGCAGTATTCCAAGTGTGGCTTTACCAAGGCATTGTAAAGAGGTATTAACACTTCACGTGATCTTGATTCTATCCCTCTGTTAATGCAGTTTAGCACTGTGTTGGCTTTTTGGGCTGCTGCAGCACACTGCTGGCTCATATTTAAGTGACTGTCCACTAGGGCATAACTATGCAAAAACATACCACTTTTGCTAGGCCTTTAATTATTGAATGCCTCTTACTGTTATTTTTTCATCTGTGTTTTTAAGTTTTTTATATTGTTTTGTTGGCCACCTTAATTGCTCACCCACCTGGGAGGGGTGGGGTAGGGACCTATCCAATGATGAATGAATCCTTATTAGAGGATCTAAGCAGAACAACATGATTCTTTATTTGTTGTAGTACTTGCTCCTTATTATGACTTGCAGAATCATAGTAAAGTTTAAAAAAATAAGCAAAGTAAAGTTTAAAAAAATAAGCAAATTAAAGGCTTTGCATGTAAAAATCCTAATTAGCCTAGTTATAACATCTGAATTGCAACCAGCAAAAATGAAGAATCTGAATGACAAAGCCCCCCTACTTATAGGGGCCAATATTACCTGCAAATTTGCATGATTTATGATTTTAAAGTTGTGCATTATTTTTTCTATTTTAGTGCAAGGTTTGTAGAAGAAATAGCAAAGAGACATTGTAGCTTTGCAATGAAAATAATCAGCAATTTTCAGAACTGGAAAATTTCAGTATGAGACTTTGGACAGTTAAATGTTCATCTCCAAAATGTCAGCTAGAATGTGTTTCTCTTTGATCATGCAACTTGCTAAGTAAAGTGTTGAAATGGCTACAGTACTTGACATGCATAAATACTAGATGGGACTAGAATTAAAGGATTTTTTTTTGTCTCTCTTTGTTTCCAGGAGGTGTTTGTCTACACTTTTCTAACTGGATGTCCTCCAGATGTATTATCTTCTGTTCCTATAATCTATGGTAGATAGGGATGACTCATGATGGCCACTGATTAACAGAACTTAAGTCCAACACATCTGGAGAGAATCAAGTTGTGGAAGGCAAGAACTGTTACTTTATAGCAGTGGTTCTCAACCTTTTTAATGCCGCGACCCCCAACCGGTCGTAAGTCGAGGACTACTCAACCGGTTGTAAGTCGAGGACTACTCAACTGGTGCAGCACCGTTTGCAGAATGGGACTTTTGGCGGGCTTAGCAGGGCAGAGACAGCCTGGACAATTCCTATTGGCTTTTGAAAGCAATAGAATTAGACTCTATTCAAGAAAGTCTATTCTATTGGCTTTCAAAAGCAATAGAATAAAAGGGAGTAGCACAGCTAAGGAAAAGGGGGAAAAAATGGCGGACTGCATTGTTTGGCGACCCCCGTGAAATGGTCGTTTGACCCCAAATGGGGTCCCGACCTACAGGTTGAGAACCACTGCTTTATAGTTACTCCCTCAAGAGCAGGGGTACAGAATTGTAGCTTTATAACACTTGTCAAACTACTTCTCCCAACATTCTTTGCATGGGTCATGTTGGTAAAAAATATTAAGGATGATCTTAATTAAATATTATCTGAAGCATAGTCATCTGGCCTGAAGCTCACATGAAATTTACCTGAACAACTTTTATGTCCACAAAGAACTGGTGTAGTATAATTTAGATGACTTGATATAATACCTTTATCTCCTTTGGTGCATACTTTCCCATCATCTTCACGTATGTATCCTTCGTGACATTCACACCGATAGCTACCAAGAGTATTTACACAGATGTGGGGGCAGAGAGTCTCACTGCTTGTGGCACACTCATCAACATCTGAAAGGAAACAAATGTAAGCATCGAGGAAATGAAATGATCAAAAATAAATATAACCTATGTATAACTCTGTGTTCATTGTACTGGATTTGGAGGGAGTCCATAGCTCAGGAGTAGAACATATGCTCTGCATAGGAAAGTCCTGGGTTGTTTCCACTATGCAGGGGTTCTCAACCTTGGCAACTTTAAGACTTGTGGACTTCAACTCCCAGAATTCCTCAGACAGCAAAGCTGGCTGAGGAATTCTGGGAATTGAAGTCCACAAGTCTTAAAGTTGCCAAGGTTGAGAACCCCTGCATTATGGGCTTATCTAATCAGGTATCCTTATGGAAGAATTTATAACTGATCTTGGGGAAGGCAGTTTGGAAAGGAGGAAGGAAGTGATTTAGAAGGGACTTGGAAAAGCAATCCACAATTAAGACATTGAAAGAAGCATGATAAAGAACTTCAAAATAACCTCAACTTGATTTTATTTAATATAAGATGGGACAGAGAGAAACTTGGGTATGCTTTTAAGATTCTATTACTCTATTCTTCAACAATAAAATAACATTTCTGGAATTCCTGCGGTGTCTGTTTCTTCACCTGGGCAAGCATATTGTCATTGAATACATCTGAAGGTTATCAAGTTGGAGAAAACTGTAATACATAATAGGAATGTTCATTTTTTGAAAACAATAGAAAAGAGGTGCTTTCGAATGCATGGTATTGCAACCTCAGTGGGCAGATAGCAATACTTGCCCAATTTTGCATGTATATTTGTGAAACCGCAATCCAAAATGCCAGAACATTTGAAAAAGAACAGGAAATTCCAAAGTTAATCATGTTCCTGACACAAGCCTTTTATTTTCAACTGAAAACAAATATGCAAGGAGAAATTCTGCTGAGTTTTCATCTAATAAACAAGATCTCAAGAATAGAGAGAGCTCAGGATGTTCTTACTGAAAGGCCAAAGGACAAAACGGCATCTAATAGAAAAGAGAGAGATGGCATCTCTCCAATTCCACATAGAGAACTGAGCTAGACTGACAGCTGGATTTTATTTTGATGTTATGATGTGATAAACCTACTTTATGCACCAGCAGTAATAGACTCATTTACAGAATGCAGAACACAACCCACAGCACACTGTCCTACAACACAGGGACTTCAGAAAGATTTTCCAGACATATCTGCAATAGTTGCCTCACTATATCTTTTGATAGAACTTATTCTATCTTTTGACAGAAGTTCTGAATTTCCCTATTCAGAAAGGTATAAAGTTAAGGCAGCGAAGTTCACATTCACATATATGGAAGTTCATGAGAACAGCATCTACATTATTATAAAACTAAATGTTGTTTGTTCTACATGTATTTTAACTGCAGTTCTTTGCACCCACCTAAGCAATAGGGTTTTTCTCGGTTCCTGTGTCTTTCACGATCATACCGATAACCAGGGTAGCACGTACATAAGACTCGACCAAAGTTGTCGGTGCACTGCTGTTCACAAGGAGCATCTGCACAAACATCATAGTCTAAAGAGAGAATATGACTGAAGTTAGTAGCTGTTTTAAACTGCAGGAGCAATGGAATGTTAATATATGAGATATGTATTAAGGTAGATCTAGTCAAAGTTACTCATCATGGAATAGCAGCAAACCACTGCCCTTGCTAACTACTTTTGATAAAGAACTATGTAACTAAACAGAAAAAAACAGTGCTATTTTTCAGTTGCATCCTGTTTTTTGAAGAAACTTTCTGAAGAAGTTATCTTTCAAGAATTTATCTGTATGAAAGTCATGTGCATACATAAAAATGGAAAACTATGAGCTGCAGAAAACCAATAATTGCATCTGACTTAGTCAAAAGATCAACCTGGAAAGTGTGATCATGGAATAAATTCTGAACCAGAGTAAAATAAACTGGGAGACAATTCAAAAGCAGTGTATCAATCTCCTTAGAGAGGAAATTGTTAAATCAGCACCCTCCTCCTCAGCCATTTGGTTGTGTCCAACCCTCAGCCACTCTATGGATCAGCATGCTCCATGCCCCTCTGTCTTGCATTGCCTCCTTCAGATCCATCATGGTCATCCCAGTGTCATCCTTTTTAATGTCCAGCCAGCAGGTGCTAGGGCAGCCCCTTCTCCTTTTTCCACCGATCACTCCCAGCATGATTGACTTTTCGAGTGAGTCAGCTCTCATGACATGATCAAAGTATGACAGCCTCTGTTTGGTAATTTTTGATGAGATATTAAATCAGAAAGTACTACTTACATTGACATGTGGTTGCAGAAAATGGTCATTAAATGTTAAAGCAATACAGAATTTGGAAGTTACTCAAAGAAGCTTGGAATGCTTACTATAAAAAGGCAAGGCACGGCAAGACATATATGGCTACACCAAAGATGGGACTAGATCAGTGGTTCTTAGCCTGGGCGATATCGCCCCCCAGGGGGTGATTTCATTTTTCAGGGGGGCGAAGGAACAAAAAGGGGGTGATATGGGGGCTGCGGAGCAAGACGTTTTGGGGACACTTTTGAGATTTTTTTCATACAGTGAATTGCTGTATATCTGTCATACAAAAACATCAGATCGCTCGCTATTAGTGGATTGAATTGTGTTTTCAAATGTTCCTCCAGCTAGCTTCAGTACCGAACGCCGTACATATGTGAATAGGCATTGCTTATCTTCATGCGCATTGCGCAGTCGCCTCTACCCTTTTTATATTTCTTTTTGTGTCTTAAATTTCACTTGTAATTCAATCATTAAATATTACTGTTTTTCTTTTCGGGCATTTCGATTTCTTGCAATTGAATTTTGTTTTCAGTGGTCATTACATTTAAGTGTCTTGAATAAATATGATAATAATGAAATACATGTATCAAGAAGTTTGGGAATAAAGTGATGGGTGGCACCAAAATTTTTCACACAGTTGAGATATGGGAAAAAGACTGGAAATAAATTATTTGCATCGATATGTCCTGATGACAACTTCCTCATTGGCTCAATGGGGCGATTTGTTCAAAAAGGTTAAGAACCACTGGACTAGATGACATAATGAAGTGGTGGCCTCATGACACTAGAGCCATGCAGATAACAACTATCCTCATTAGTAATAGTTCAACTTAAAAGAGCCAGAAAATAACCAAAGAAATAATATAACTTATTAAAGGTATAATTGGTGATTTGTAACACGTCACAATAGTTGGAAAGCAACTGAAGTAGTCTTCATCCTACAGTGGGCTGACTTGGGCTGAGAATAAATGAATGAATGAATGGATGGATGAATGAATGAATGGATGAATGAATGAATGAATAAATTTATTGATGGTTTTGAGACAACTCATCATGTTGTTGACGTGCATAGTCTCCTCCAATTGTGCACTATCCACAAGTACAATTGGAGTTTTATAGTTCAATAAGAATTCTTAAAAACACAAATAATCCCGAACACCAGGAATTAGTTATTAGAAGCAGTCATGTTCCTGCACCTTTGCACAGCTTCCTGTACAGTAATAAAATAAATTCATTGCTGCTTGCAAGGGCAGGAAATTTCAGAGCATATTGTTGTAATTATGCGTAGCATGCAACACATAACTAAATAGAAAGGAGGAAGAATCATCATTGTTAGGCCATTAAGTACTTCCAAAAATGTCTAGCTCATACCAAAATTGATGGAAATTTGGGGCATTTTTCTTTCTTCAGCCATCAGGAATAGTTGCAGAAGAGATGAGATTTGGAAGAATTAACAATATTTTCCATTGAGGATTATAACCCCATTTTCTCATTTATCTCACAAAATGGTTATTTTGATGTGTGCATCCAAACCTGATTTGAAATCACAAACTACATGTGGTTTCCAACTGGCTACTTTTGTGATAAGTGTGTATGCGCATGATGTAATATGCTGAATCTATTTGCATTATAATCAACAGTTTCTCAATTGGTTCAAAGCTTTTACCAATTTCAAAAGTCAGTATAGAATGTATAGTCCCAAGGATTTTCTCATTGCTGACAGCAGAGCTAAGAAAAGAGAAATCACTTCATGAGTTTGATCATCTACCAAGATCTGTTATCAGTTTTGCCCCAATACACTATCAAGTTTGTGCCTCGCTGCCAAAATTCCCCAAACATTGGACCACTATTAAGCTAGAACATCTGCTGATGTTACATCTACCATAAAAATAAGGTGAATCCTTTAATTAATTTCATGAAGTTGGTTCCCAACAAGAGCATGTCAGATTTATGCATTGTCTTAGCAACTGCCTGCCAGAGTTGAGAATGCATGACCTATAAAACACACTCTTATGTGTACATTCTATGTGTGTAAATGTTTAATAAAGAATGAGTCATAGGTTGAACTCCTTTATCTAAGACAGTTTACCTGATACGGAACAACTCGGTGTGATAAAGATTAACACAATCAACGGGCCGATGACGCGCTCAAGGAGCTGGGCGCAGAGGCAGGAGGCTATATGAGCTGCCTTCCCAATCTCCTGCTATTCTAACTCTGATGACGCCGACAGTTTTTTGGCCGGACAAAAGCTTAGTAACTCTTTTTAACCACAGGCTTGTTTATATTAAACAGGCTGGTTTATTATATCCTGGTGTTCATTTTTTCTTTTTCTTTCTTTCTTTCTTTCTTTCTTTCTTTCTTTCTTTCTTTCTTTCTTTCTATCTATCTATCTATCTATATGTAGGTCTTTGGTTATTCGGGTTTTCTCCCGCGTCAAATTGGAAGTGTCTTGGCGACGTTTCAACAAAGTCTCATTCGTCATCTTCAGGCTGGTGTTTTCGGCTTCGTACTTCTAGGAGCAAGAAACAGCTCCGATCCCACATTGCTTCGAAACGTTGCCAAGACACTTCCAATTTTACGCGGGAGAAAACCCGAATAACCAAAGACCTATATACAAATACCCGCGAAAACCTCAGAAAACAAATATATATATATATATATATATATATATATATATATATATATATATATATATATATATATATATATATGTCCTTAATGGTTGTAAAAATGCGAATCCCGGGCATATTTGTTCAATAATGCAATCTTCAATCTCCGGGAAGAGTATAATCTAGTTATTTATTGTTAAAACAATATTTAGAACAATAAAAACAGCTATATACAAAGTTAAAAACAACTTAGCTTTCGCTGGTCCTCTGCCAGCATCCTCAGAATGGGGCTCAGGGGGTGGGGAAGTTTTTTTATCCCCTTGCCGATCTAACTGCTTGCTCATTGCTTGTGTGACAGGGCCACTCTTCCTGATTGCCTGTGACTGCAATCAGAGGGCGGGGCAACTAAGGCAGTCACAGGCAATCAGGAAGAGTGGCTCTATCACGCGAGTAAAATATTTCCTTTTAAACAAATGGTTATTATCCTCAGAACAGTTGAATCTTCCAAGAATATTTTAGAAGAGGAGCGGTACGTAGCTCTGAACATTTTATCAGTTTGCACCTAGCAAGAGTGGGCCAGAAAAGTCAACACAAAGTTCACAAATGACAATGTCCCCAGAACACCCCAAAAAGTCCCCTTTCCCAAGACATAATGAACATCGAGCAAGATTTCAGCCATTTCTTTTCATCATGTCTCCTGGGTAGTCCACACGGCAAAATGAGCAGAGTATATAATAAGACCCATATTCAGATTTATGCAGTTATGAAGCTGATGAGGAAATTATAAATCTGCCACAGTGGATAGATAAAATTTGATCTAACTTGTTTTTAAGCAGAACTTCCCAATATTATATTTTTTCCAAAAAAGAAAGAAAAGAAATGGAAAGAACAGAGCTGTCGACATGAAATGGCCAGGGTAAAGTAGTATGGTGAAGACATGTCAGGCTTTTTTATAGGGGGAACCAGCCCGGGTCAATTAGCACTGGACCCAGGGTCTACAAAGAAGCACTGCATCAACAGAAGACAGGCTCTGTTATTGCTGTGCATTTATTCCTAAGAGGAAGTGAAGTTGCTCCATTAGAATCTATTATTAATTGATTTTATGAATACAGATAGTCTTAGAGTTACAACTGTAATGGAGCCTGTAATGCTCCACTACCACAAGCAGATCATGGGATACTTAAGGGGGTGGGGGAGAACTTGGAAGGTCCAAGGCAACTGGGCCTGTGCCTGCACTAGGCCTCCCAGGATCTCCCCCACCCTGAGGCACCCCATGCTCCGCTTAACAACCCACACAATCGATTAACAAATACATTGGGAGAACAGGGATGGCTGGTCATTACCTGAGGCAGTACATTTAACGCTTGTCCTGACTTCTGACTCTAACGGGCAGGCTCCATTATGGCCATAACTCAAGGACCTGGATATTAAAATAGCATCCAGCTAGCACCTCAGGCCCACTTTGTTCTTCTCTTGCTGTATTTTTTTGAGAAACAAAGGAACCCCTTCCTGAAAGGGTCACTGTGCCAACAAAACATCAACATCATCTCTTGAAATTACAGAGAAATGGCGGCTGTTTGGCTACAGGAAGGAGAAATCTCAGAAACAAAATCTCAGGCTCCATGAGTTTTACTGCCCAGAGGCAGGGCTGCACAACCCTCTTTGAAGCCTCTCTTCTGAAGAGGAGCTGAGCTAATAATTAATGGACTCAGCTTGGAAGTTTCTCAGGTCTATCCCATCCCGTGGGGTGCAGTGTTGATGTCAGGCTGGGGGTCCTGTGTGTGGAAGATCTTGAATTAAGGAAAGAAATATGGTGTGCACAGATTTACATCCAGCTGGATTCAGTATCTTCAGAATTGGGAGAGGGCCTAAATTGAATTTGTCATTTCCTTCCACATGTCATCTCTCACTGTACAGTCTTTATGACTTCAGTGTTAGCTGTGACTACCCCCGCCCTGCTTTTTTTGAAAGTTTTTTAATAAACAAATTAAGATATCGCAAAAGCGTACCAAATTCTTTCACATTTGAATAATATAAAGCTGGGAGACATCACAGGGAATTCTGGTTATCACCATGCCTATCAAACAAATAGTCAATCTTATTTTTATTATTTAGCACGGGAAGATAGAGCCATGGAAGGATTAAACGTGATAAAGAAACGTTTAATTACATACCTTCGGGAATGCATTGTCCAAGAACAAACTTATAACCTTTACAGCACTTTTTCCTGGAAGACAAAAAATAAAGGGGGTGGGGTGGGGTTGGTGATGGAATCAGTAAATTAAGAATCCTATTTTTCACATAAAACGATAGGACTGGAAGATGTCATTAAAATTCCTCAAAATTTCCACTTGCCCTAATTTTACAAACTTACACCTAATAAGTCTACTGTTCTACGTTTTTCAATCTGTGATCACAAAGAGCAAATCATAGTCCTTGTATGTGTATACAAGTATCTTTCATGTACAGATAGTCCTTGACGTATGACCACAATTGAGCCCAAAATTTATGTTGCTAATGAGACATTTATTAAGTGAGTTTTGCCCCATTTTACAACCTTTCTTGCCACAGTTGTTAAGTGAATCATTGTAGTTGTTAGTAACACAGTTGTTAAGTGAATCTGGTTTCCCCACTGACTTTGTCTGTCAAAAGTTCACAAAAGCTGTTCACATGACCCCATGTCACGGCAACTGTCATAAATATGAATCAGTTGCCAAGCATCCGAATTTTGATCATATGACCTTGGGGATGCTGGAACAGTTGTAAGTATGAAAAAGTCATATCACTTTTTTCAGTGCCGTTGTAACTTTGAATGGTCATAGGTCAAGGACTATCTGTACTTGAAGAGCACAATTAGAGTCTCCCTCCCCAATTTTCTATTCTTCTTAATGTCTGTGGAGATTCTCAGTCATCCAGGTCATGGTTGTCCCAAAGGTGCTTTTTTCATGAGGCAAATGGACTTCCTTGTTTTTTCTTTGAAGATATTTCGCTTCTCATTCATATCAAGCTTCTTTAGCTCAAACTGGATGGTGGGGAATGGAAGGATTTTGTTTTCTTTTGGCGAGTGGTCGAGGCCACCTGGAGGCTTATCTGTGTCCTCAGGGTCACCTGAGTAGTGCAAATGTGTGTGGAGCCTTCTTGGAACTGTTGAAAGGACTGTGTTGTAGACTGGAGATAGATGTTCTCCTTAACTTCAGTTCCCCAATCTTCTTCACTATCCTTTGAATCATTTTTACTTGATCTGAATTCTACTTAAAATATGGTGGCCAGAACTATAACCAGATTGGAAGTATTTTCATTATTGGAAAGTTATGACCCAGACTAAAATTTCATTTGCTCTTTTTGCAGTTACATTACACTACTGATTCATAGCTTATGATCGGTTGTAACTCCAAAATCACTTTCAGATGTAGTATAGTGCTAAGACGTAGGTATGGCTTATCTTAGACTGATGTATTTGATTTATTTTACATAAACGAATAACTGCATTTATCTCTGTTCATTTTAATCTGGCATTCCCTGGCCAGTTTTTTTAAAATATTTGAGATTACTTTGAATATTATTTATGTCTTCCAAGGCATTAGCATTTATTTATTTATTTGTAAAACGTACAGAATCAGCAGCTCACAGCAGAATCAGAAAAACACAAAAAGATAAAACACTGCTCTACAACATCAACAGCGGACTATCCCAACAAGCACTGTTTTCCATCAATATAGCAAGCATTTCCCATTTGCTTCTTTCTCAATGGATAAAAATGAATACAAATTACGATGAGCTCAAGGCCAAAAACAGCAGATCTTCTATCACTCACTCATTCTCTTTTTCTCCTGTTTTGTGCTGTTATGATTAATGAGCATTATTTGAATGTGTTTTCCTGGCCAACTGCAGATTTTTTAAAAAAATTATTTATTACATTTATATGCTGCCTACCTTGCTATCCGAAGCAACTCAAAACAACAAATTTAACTAGTAGTAATATAATTTTAACAATCACGGACCTTTTCATAGATAAATAGCAATGATCTATTACTGAGTGCTCTCTGGGATAAAACTCTAGTGCAAATCAACACATCAACAGTATGATGGGAAGCAGCGCTAGCCACAAAAGGAGTCCCAGAAATATGTGGTCACACTGAGGAAAAGAGAGAGATCCTGTGGTTGCTGCTGAAACTAGCAGAATGAATAAGTCTGGAAACAGCCTGCTACTATTATTTTACTTTTTGACCCTAAGAAAAGTATGTTTCTTAGATGGAGCATTAAAAATATGAATCCTGGCTGAAAAAGAAAGGTATACATACCATTGGTACTAAAAAAAAAATGTGCCTGAAAATGTTTATGTATTTCCTCTAATGATTGTGAGCTGCTAGATTTATGACATTTACAGTATAAATGTAGTTCATATAGCAAGCAGTTGTACTGAAAGTGCAGTTGTCCAAAGGCCTAGGAAAGTGATGGTGAACCTTTTAGAGGCCGAGTGCACAAACTGCAACCCAAAACCCACTTATTTATCGCAAAATGCCAGGGCCGCATCAGCATTGTGGTACCCTCTGGAGGGTGTGTGTGGCCCACTGGGTGGGTGTGGCTGCAGTGGTCACAGCAGACTAGGTGGGCGTGGCCACTTGATGTTGCTTATGGGGGGACACCTGTGGGGGCTGGGCAGGGTTGGGGGAGATCCAGGGGGTCTCTGGTGGGTGGGGCAGTGGGCAGGAGGCTTGTCCTGCGGGGTAAGGCAGAGGGCAGAGCGGGAGTGCTATTGACACAGGGCAAGGCAAGGCAAGGCAGGGGCCGTGGTGGCTTCTGCCTGACACCATCGGCCCCCGCACACAGAGGCCAGTGAGTGCATGGAGGCCGTCGGTGTCCATCAGCAGCCACAGCCTGCCGGCAGCCCACTGCCAATACTGAGCCAGCCCTCCAGCAGCAGGCGGAGTAGGGGAGGGGGGAGGCACGTGATGCAGACCGCCGGATGTGCCTACTCCATCCCAATTGTTTTTGCTTGTGGTTGGAGAGCAGGTCACTGCTGGTCATCTTGGTCCCCTTGCAGATCTTGACCTTGGCCCACATGTGGAGCCTGTTCCCCTCACGCATCTTGGCCCTGCCTCGGGTTGCCGCCAGCCACTCGCGCAGGTCCATTAGGCCACTGCCTGGAGTGCCTGGCCTGCCCAGCATAAAGGAGGTGAAATGGCCAGCTAGCAAGCTCGAGTAGAAGTGGTAGAGCACGCCTACACCCAGCAAGCCAAAGTGGGGCAAGCCGGATCCCCATTGGCGCCATGGGCCCCCCAGTCCCAGCTAGGATTGTGCGCCTTCCCCCCATCTCTGCTAGGCCTGGGCGGCCATGATGCCGATGGGGATCCGGCTTGCCCTGCTCAGGGTGGACTTTTGCCTGCTAGCCCTGGGCGTGCTCTATCACCTCTATGCAGGGCTTCCTAGCCGACCACTTCTGCCTCCTTTGTGCTGGGTGGGCCTGCAGCTCTGGGCGGTAGCCTAATGGACCTGCATGAGTGGCTGGCAGCCACAATAGGTACCAAGGTACGTGAGGGAAATGCGCTCCACCCATGGGCCAAGGGCAAGGCCCTTGAGGGTGCTGAGGAGATGGCACAGAGTAGGTGTGTCCAGCAGTTCACATACGTGCTCCCCCAACTCCATGTGCTGCCAGAGCTGCTGGCAATTGTTCGGAGAGCCCTGAACTCTGTAACTATGGAAGCTGCCCAAGGCCTCAATGTACAAACAGTTCTACATTTCAATAGATGCTCAAAACCTTCCTTTTGTAGGAAAGCCTAATAAAATCTCCTGAACATGATGAAGGATAATAGAAATCTGGCTAAATGGGGAAAAAAACAATGTCAGAAAAGTCAATGTTATCATTGAATGTCCGTAATGTAAAGAAAGCAGAACATAAAACAGAAGAGATTAACAACATAGTCTACCTCCCATGGGGATTATTTAACATAACATGTGATCTTGCTTTTCTTGAGCAAGATTCTAAAAGATCTGAGAGTTTTCAACTAGCTCAAGATAGGAGCATGTTCCAGGAGAGTGAGGGGGAGTCCATCTGTTTCTAATAATCTGCAATCCAAAGCAAGTGGTTTCATTTGCCAATTTCTATTTTGCCTGGCATATCTTTGAGCAGTGGTCTGTGGGGCATAGCAACCTTTGAAATTATATATTTTTATGCACCATTTCAAAACTGATAGGCATGGTATGCATTTTCTTCTGAATTAACATTGAAAGCACACTATACTCATTGCTTTATTAAATCTATATAGTTGAGAAAGCAAGAAAACAGGATGGTGCAGAAAGGTTGTTTTAGTGTTAATTCTTATATGGAGGGTCAGTTTGGTGTAGTGGTTAAAGAGTCTAGGAGAGGGGTAGGCAACCTTGGCTCTTTTATGACTCAGGGACTTCAACTCACAGAATTCCTGAGCCAGCATGGGTGGCTCAGGAATTCTGGGAGTTGAAGTCCACAAGTCATAAAAGAGCCAAGGTTGCCTACCCCTGGTCTAGGACAACTCGCCCTGGCCAATCCCCCCAGTTGACTCGCCGCAGCCAACTAGCCGCAAAACAATTTGCCATGGTCAACTCCCCATAGGACAACTCGCTGTGGGACAATTCAACATGGGATAACTCAAGAGAGGGACACTGAATTGCAATAGGTCTCATCTTGCTTTAGGTTTGAATCCTTCTCAAGTCCTCAATGTTGGGGAGGGGGAAGAACGTGTAGTCACTTGTCCCTCTTGTCCCTCTCTTGAGTTATCCTGTACTGAATTTCCCACAGCGAGTTGGCCGTGAATTGTCCCATGGCAAGCCAGCCACGACAAGTTGGCTGTGGCACGTTATCCCATTCCAATGGTTATCCCATTCCAGTGGTAGGCATCAGGCTAGAAATATGAAGACCACCTGGGTGGTTTTCCTTGGGCCAGTCATTTTCTATTGGCCCTAGGAAGGATGTAATGGCAAACTACTACTGAAAAACCTGCCAAGAAAACTGCAGGGACTTATCCAGTCAATCTCCAAAAATTGGACATGATTGAATGGAAGAAAAAAACAAAACCCTTATATATTGCTTCAGCTACAGTAGTGGCCAAAATTGTGGAAACCTTTTGGAAAAAGTGTGCAGTAGAAATGCCACCTTTGGTTAAGTTTCCACCAACTTTTCTTTTAATTTCTTTATAACTGTAGCCTTGTTCACTTAATAATACTATTTTACATCGCTTTCTGGGCAACCAG